TGAGTAGATGTTCATGCCCATGGAGAGAACCCATAAGCTACAACCTTTCCAGTGTATTTGCTTGCTGCAGTGAGAGACAAAAGCCTCCACGAAGAGCAGGGTGTTAGACTTCAGTTCCCAGCTGGCACTCCTCCTTTCTTTGTCATTTCTGTACACCCAGCCTTCATCCCCTGTCTCTGCTGAAGGACGTGTGTCTTCCCTCTTGTAGCTGGGAGAACAAAGCAGATGGTCTCAGTCTGTGGGACAGGTGTCCACATCAGAAACCTGTCACCGTGCTCGACACCTTCCCAGCCACACTGGCCAAGATCCTCCAGAAAAGAAAAAAAACATACCTTGGCGTTTTGCATAAATTTACATACATTTGCATGCAATGGCACCTACCGTTTTTTTCACTCCAGCAAATCCTCAGAAGGACTGGTGGGAAGACAGCTGAAGTGCTGCCTGCCTGGTGCCTTTGATATGCAGATCACTAATAAAAAGAGCCCTTCCAGGTCAGGTCCTGTTCTCCTCCTGCCTTTTGTCCCAGGGATGAGACTTAAAGAGGAGAAAAGGAGGCAGCTCACCCCAGCACTGCCCGTGCCCAGGAAACCTCTGAAGGCAACTAGAAAACTCTTTCCTGCTGCATTTCCCAGGAAAATACTGGTCACCTTGTCATAGTCCAAAAAATAATATTCCCATTTCTTTTTCCTTCTTCTTTTTATCCTTTTTTTTTTCTTTTTTTTTTTGGGTCAGTTTCGCTTTGCAACCTCAACCAAACCAAAGCACAGCAGATTGCTCAATGCTGCCTGTAGGCCAGTGAGAAAGGGTAAAAACCCCCTAGAGATCCCTGAATGCAGTCTGCTTGGTTGAAGCTCAGTCCTGCCCCAGGGGACATCTCTGCAGGGGTGAGAAGAACTCCCCCCTGTTCCCAACCTCCGTGGGGAAGGTCAGGATGTGGTACCCACCGAGGTCCCCCCATGAAATGCTGCAATGAGGGAACCTCTGGCCCAAATAGGAAATGCTGTGTGTGTTTTCCAGGGCTAATGAGGGCTGCTTGGAGAGGCAGGAGGGGAAGGAGAAACGAGCAGCTCCACAGGAACTTTTTTGATCACTTCATTTGAGGGTCGTTGTGGGAGTGTTGGGTCTTCTCCTCCCCACCCCACCCCGCTGGATGATGATGGTGTCCTGCTAGGGAAGAGGGGCCATCTGAAGGTGAACGGCAGCAGGGACGTGAGATGCCTTGCTCAGTGCTTTGGGGTTGTCACCCAAGGCCTTTGCCCCGTGTCCTCACCCCTGCCAGAGGTCCAAAGCCACCCAGGGTGTGTCCGACCTGCCGTGCACGGCAGCAGAACCTTTTCCTCCAGCAAACCATCAATGCTCATGGTGATTTTCAACCCCGAGGACCTTTGCCTACGAATCCCCTCAGCTTCAGCCACCTCTGTAGCCTATCAACAAACCAGCTCAGTTTGGCTTCCTACTTCTTCCTTTTCATGGGCTCAGAGGCTTCCCGAGCTGAGCTGGAGACACGGCTGCCCCCACAGTGCCACTTCTGCTGCTCCAAGCCCCACAGCCTGTTACACAAACCCAGCAGCAGGGCTCCCCCCCGCTTTGGAAAGACCAACACCCTCCCAAAAAAAAACTTACGTAACTCTATGACTAATCTTCTCTAAGCTTCCCTAAGCTGGAGCGAGGCATTTAAATCTGGGGAGTAAGCCTATTCTTCTCACCCACCCCCCAGCCTGCCTGCACTGCCAGAGGGGAAGCAAAGAGGAGCAAAGTTCACAGCCTTGCCGCTGCTCCTTTGGGTGACAGCAACGTGGCCCGAGTAAAACTGAACTAAACCCTCCTGCCCTGATGTTCTCCACGCACACAGACCCAGGGCCTTAGGAGAAAAGCTGCTTTGGTGCTCGATTATCACCTGCTCTTGGCTCCAGCATGGAGATCTCCACCCTCGCCACCTACCACTGCCTTGCTTTCCTCTGGTATTTTTTCGTTGCCTATTCCATCACCCAGGTCCGGGCAGAAGAGCGGCCGTCCGAAATCTTCCTGTACGGCGGGCAGTGGAAATATTTGACAGTCCTCAACCTGGTAAGCAAATCGTGCTGCACAGCGATCCCCAGATGCCTGGTTGTTTGTCTGCCATCTGTGCCTGCAGACAGGGGCAGCTGCTCTGGTTGCTGCTGCTTCAACTGCTTCCCTGAATGGTTCGTACCCCGCAGGAAACCGAGCAGGGGTCCACACGTGTGCTCTGAAGTGCAGGGACAGGTTTTGTGCAGAGGGAACACTGGTGAGCTGCTTGGTTTTTTGGGAAGTCCTCTGAAGCCAGCTGCCTCTTTGTAGAAGAGATGAGCTGTCGGTGAGGAGAGGGACAGGATGGAAGGGGATGCCCAGCCAGGACACGTGGGAGTTTGATGTATGCTGGAGTTTTACTTCCTTTTTTATTTTTTTAATAGGCTCTTCTGTCCTGTAAATAACAGAGAAGGTAAAACAAAGCCTTGCACGGTGCTAATTGAGCCATTATTGAGTTTGCCAATCAGTGGAGAGCCTGAGGGAAAGAAATTCCAGCCTGCAGAGAGAGGTGCTTGTGGCTTTATTCGGTGTTTTACTGCTGCTGTCAGCTGCTTGCTGCAGCTCCTGAAAGCACACAGAGAAGCACAGACCATAACGTGTTCTGCTGCTCCTGATGGGTGATGTCTCACACCCAGAAACCAGAATGGAAGCACATGAGATACGTGGGGGGAGCTTTGTTCACACTCCAAGCACTCCATGAATGGGGTGGGAACATGGGGCATGTGGAGAGATGTCCTAGAAGGGACCAGTTTCAGGGACACTTGCCAATCTGAAGGATGACCACAGGGATGTTTTGTCCATTCTGTGTGACTGTCAGAGTTAAATATCCGTGGGAAGTCTGCCCTGGGGTGTGTTTGTCTCTACTTTTCTTCTTCAGAAGGAGACACCTCACGGTGGAGCTCAATGGAAGCCTAAAGGCTCCCCAGCTCCAAGTGGGGCTTTAGGAGACCACGATGAGGTTGGGAAATTTGGGTGCTTTCCAGCCACAGCTTGGTGACTATGAAATATTTGCAGCCAAGAGGTGGTAAATGGCACGGGAGGTGGCTACAAGAGCTGGGGCTTCAGGGAGCCACATCACCCTTCTGGGTGGCCAGGCTGGCAGGGGAAGGGTGAGGGCACACTGCACCCTGCAGTCAGGATGGCACGGGTATGGCTTGTGGCTACGTTGTCTTTGCATCAGCACATCCAGGATTTTGGTGATGTTTTAAACATGGCTTTTTCTGAAATGCCATCAGCCAAATGCTCAGGATGCAACAGCCTTAAGGATGTTCTGTTCATCCTGCTGGGACATGTATCAGGGGACTAAACCACCACTAGCCAAATCCCAGGCAAGGGACTCTGTGCCCAGCTCCTCTCCTTGCATTTTTGGGGAAAGCTGGCCACAGTATGGCACTGCCATACCAACCTGCCCAGCCAGGAAAGAAGTCCAGGCTGAGGTAGCTAATACCCATCCAAAGCCTTCATCTTTCTCAAGGACAACCAAACCTGTCTGTGCTGCTGGTACCTTCCTACCCAAGGCAAGTGTGCCATGTGTGAAAGAGTGGTTTGGTTGTGGGTGTAAACCTGCTTCCCAACAACCAAGCTGGATAACACTTCTGTGTTATAATTTAATTGTCCATCCCTGTCCAGTTCTGTTTTCCACTCATTAGAGAGTTCTACCATTTTTTTTCCCCTCACTTTTTCTCTTCTGCAAGCTGGAAGTCGGAGCCTTTTTCATCTCCCTTCACAAAGGGCTGCTTCTTTCAGGCAAGCATCCTTGCTGCCCTTTGTTTTTCCAGTTCCAGGAAGGGGTAAGGAGGGCGGGCTGCAGTGGTGAGCTAGGAGCACAGCAGTGGCCTAAAGGTGTTTCCTTGGCTGCTGTTTATTTCTTCTTAAAATTTCTCAGCTCTCTCTCTCTGTCTGTTTTGATTCCTGGTGAGCCAGGAGACAGCAATTTGAGAGAGCTGTGGAGAGAACTCCACAGCGAGTCCAGCATTTCTTTCCTGGATGCTGATAGTTAATTTAGAGCTCACTGTTGAACAACAGCAACCAAAATTGCCTTTTTTTTTTTTTTTTTTCTGAAATACTTTACATTGCATTTACCAACACTGAATTTCTCCTGCTACCTGATCTCTCGGGCACTTGGTTTCCTGAGATTCTTTGGCAATTTTGCAGTCAGGCATCGCTTTGATGGGGGAAAAAAAGATTTGTCAAGAAGGGAAAAGAGCCCAGGGAGAGAAACGCCCTCAGCCCCCCTTCTCCCATTCATTTGGACAGGGTTTGTTGCTATCTCCAGATGGCAAAAATTCCCAGAGCCACTGTGCAGGAGAGGAAGAGGGTGAGGAGACAGTATGGCCCACGGAGCTCCCTGTGGGGCTCCACAGGACCTAGAAGAGTCACCCCATGGTTTGGTGTTACACCACTCCCTGTTGCTGCTGAGGAACATCAAGGAACAAGAGGAACACAGGCGTCCAACCTGATGTGCTACATTTCTGTGCCTTTGGAAGCAGTCCCAGGAAACACCTTGGGATTCCAGGAGGTACATTCCTGGGGAGGAAGAGCAGCCAAAAGCCTCCTGCTGGGCCGTGCTGGTTTACTGAAGCCACCACGCTGGGCAGGGGGAGGCTTCCCCAGAGCCAGGCGTGTAGGACACTTGTCCATCTCTCCTTCCTGTCCTCTGCCAGACTGCAGTTCCCTGGCCTCTGGCACCAGCTGGCTGAATCACTTGGGAATCTGCCCCCCAGAATTCCTCTTAGCTCTTTAGAGTTGCTTTTAAAAGTTTCCTTCTGTGGAAAGCTGCCGTGGCCAGCTCGCCCTGACCTGAAATGGAAATGCAGAGAAACATGGCTTTTGCTGGGGGTGGGAATGCAGCTTGGCTCCTAGCTCTGCTGGAGGGGGGGCTGGAAGAATTTCTTCTAGATATGATCCTCCTTTAGCACCTCATTCAATTCCCTGCTTGTCGTGGGGCTCTCCCAAGGGAGCTGCAGCCCTGACGTTACTTCAGATTCATTTATCTAGTGAACGATCACAGCAATCAAGATTCAGAAGGGAAATATTTTCACAGGAGAAGAAAAAAAAAAAGATCAGCAGGTTCTGTATCAAAGGAGCTCATTGGCTTATTACTGAACAAGCAGAAATGACAGATAAAACCAGTTTTGTATTCATTTGTCTGTGACACAAACCAGTACAAGCCGAATTGTTCATTGCCTGAAGTATCCAAGCTCATAAAAACCTGCTCCCTGCTATAAATCTATCTATAAATCATTGCATAATGAGCACACTGCACCTTTAAAAACTATTAATTGCATTACTGCCCCGTTTTGGTCCCTACGCTTTTGTCTCTCCTAACTGAAATACTTTCCAATTCTCCTGAAAGCTGGTTTTTATTTATTTCAAAATAGACCCAGTATTGAGTATACATATTTTCCAGGTCGCTGTCCTGTGAATGGATGCGTGTCTACACTAAATGTTGAGTGTTATGTCTAACAGCTTGCTCAGAATACTGGATTTATCCTCCCTTAAGGGCAGGGCTTGGAGCCCAATTTATTTGTACGAGTTGGAGATTTCAGCGTATACACGTGGCCAGACCTTACATGTGAAAGTAAATCATGTCAGGTTAGCTAAACAGAAACACCCCTTTAATCACCCCAGCAGATAAAAATGAAGGTTTGTCTTTGTCACCTTGACTCTCAGCTTGGAAAATCAGCCTGGCCAAAGGCAGCATTTCTACAGCACCCGATGCCACGGAGCTCGGCGGGGTCTGGAGAGGGAAGCAGCATCTCTCCAGCAAGGCTAATCACATCCACATTCTCCTCTTGGGCTTCTTCCTGAGCTTTCTGAACGCTTCCAGTCTTCCTTCTGTTCGTGTGGGAAGACTTCAGGGGATCCTCTTTATTTACAGCCAGTGGATTTATATTCCATGAGTGGCTGCAGTGGATTTGTGAGCGCCGGCACCGCTGCTTGGGAAATTCACAGGACATCTGGAATAATTTGGTGTTTTCATGGCAGTTTTTATTTTTTTTATATCAACGTTTTCCCATTAGTGAAGGGCTGGGAGATTGGGATGCACCTTCCTTGCAGGAATAAGCCTGGAAGGGCACAGGTTTAGAGCTCTGACTCTAGTTTACCATCAGAGGAGCCTGTCAGACTGAGCATTACAGGGATGGTTCTAGCTAGATTCAGTTTTCTGGCTTGGAGAATTACTTGTGTATTCTTGAATTGCTCTTGGAAACACAGGGTGGTCACAAACTGACTGACACCCCTTTGAACCCAGGGTCACGAGCAAGGGCAGAGCTATCAAAGGGCAAGAACAAGCTCCTGAGACCTAGTCCAGTTCTTCAGGAGTTGTTCTTCTCCCTGTGCAGCCAGAGAAATGGGTCAGGTTACACATTCAGATAAGCATTTTCCATTCAGAAGATAACATTGTCCTCCCCTGCCTAGGACAGAACATTCACCAGGCTGAGAATGTGGCTGTTTTGGGACTGTTTCTTTTCAGAAATGTTTGTTTTAGTTAATTTTGAAGGGGGGAACAGAGCAGCCTATCCCTGTCCCATGATTAATGTAAGGCTGACCATGAACAAGATAATAATAGCCCCATCCTCTGGGAACCAGACCTCTCCCTAATTGCTTTATTGGCAATTAGTCACCATGTGTCACCAGACTGTCACCACCCTCATGTTCATTTTTCATGGCTTTTATAGAAAGTTACTGCTGACTCTACAGGGTGTAACAAGAGCTTCTGTTTATTACCAGGCCTCTCAGCTCTTCAGGGGCTTGGGTTTGGTGTCCTGGTGAGACCAAGGGCTGGGGCAGATGTTTGGGTTGAACGTGTGCTTGGGTCTAAGCAGGCTGAGCCCCAGCATGGACTCTTCTGAGGCAGACCCATGACCTGGAGGGCTGAATCCCTACTGACTGAAATGGTGCCTGCGGTGGCAGAGGCTAATTGTCTGATAATGGGGAGAGAGAGAGAGAAAAAAACCACAAAGAGCTGGTTTGAGTGCCTCAGAATTGAACAAAACCTTATGTGGGGTCTGATGAAGCTGCTTGAGGTTGTTTTTTTTTTCCTGTATAAATGTGGCTGTTCACCCCATGCTCTTGAGAAGAAAATTCTGTCCCCTCCCAAGCACCACCCTTCTCAGCTCCTTCAGAAACTGATGAAGTAACTGCCCACGACTTCAGACACTTTGCTCTAAATAAATATCTGATTCAGAATAAGATCATGGCAAAAAAGATCTCATTTTGAAAGTTGTAGCACAGCCTCTGTCCACTCAAGCACCACTAGCTGCTCCAGTGTTTGCTGCATTTCCCATATTGCATCATTCTGGGACAACCTGGCCTTAAAAAGAAGAGGTCACCTCCTGAGTTAACAGATCTGACCCACACTCAGTGCTGAACTCAAAGTAGCAGGAGTATTTTTCTACAAGTTTTTCCTGAGTGTGTCTGACAGATGTGGTTCAGCTTGATCTGCTGTGTCGTGTTGGGAGAGAAAATGAAGTCATCAGAAAAGCAATATTGGCTTAAACCAGGATATTGAGATAATTTCCCACACAGTTTGTAGAATACTGTTTTGTCACTCTGCTCTTACCTAACTCTTTACCAAATCCTCCTAGCATCCTCCCTGAACAACCTCACCCTCCTTACTTGGAAATGATTGAAAGAGAAAAACCAAACCCAAATACCACTCCCCTTCCTCCAAAATCAATTAGTTATAAATAGTTGAACTCAGTTTTAGTTAGTGAAGCCTGGATCTCTGCTTCTAAGCACCTGAACCCCTCTCCTGAATCCCCCCGAGTTCAGCAAAAGGGGTTCTGGTTCTTATAACTTCTGTACCTTTCTCACATTAAAAGCATTTTGAGCTATGTGACACTGAGATTGTTGACACTTTGAGTGTTCCAGAAGAAGGCCCTAAATGGTGGGAGAAGTTAATTAGCAACTGCTTTCCAGGAAACTTTTCCTGGCCTATTTTGTCCTCTTTTGCTCCTGCTCGGTTGCACTGAAGGGAACAATTAACATAGGAAGTGTGAAGGAGCTGGCTTTCAACATGTCCTTCCACCTCCCCCCTCTGAATCACATCACACCTCTCTGTTTAGTCTGTTAAACGAGATACTGTTGAAGTTATCTGCCCAACAACTTTACTTAATCCATCTCAGTTAGTAAAAAAGATTTAGCCAACAGCTACTTCCCTCACGTGGCTTTGCAGCTTGTGAACAAAACAGCTCCCTGAAGAGCCAGAAGAGAGTTCATTGAGGAACACGCTAATTAAAGCTGGATGAGTTTCCCTCATTAGGTGTAATTACTTTAGGTTTTGCAGGCTGTCTTCTATGGGGTGTCCTTCCTGGCTGATGTGTTGAGACTAATTAAGAAGCTGCGATGTGCTAAGAGCGTCATTTCCAGCAGAGACCTTCTTTTCAGTGTCCTGGCTTTCCCAGTGTCCACAGTAAGTAACCTCTCTACATAAAAATGACGTTTGCATAAGTGGTTAGAGCATAATAGGCACGTGGATAAAACAGCTCAGAACTTTCTCTCCCCATCTGAAAAGGGATTTGGAGCGTTTAGGAGGAGGAGCAGCGCTGAGCCTGTCACGGTTGAGAGCAAAGCCTCTTGCACAAACTTTGCTGTCCCTGGGTGATCACAGCCTGACCCCAAAGGGTGTGTGAGGTGTAACCTCACTGTGTTAATCTCCCAGGCCAAAGAGCTGTGGGTTTATTGACTCAGGGCGTTCCTCCAAAGGGCAGCACGGGCCAGGAGGACGTGAGAGGGTGCCCAAGAGGCAGCAAAATCTCACATCTCCTTCTCCGACTCCAGCGTGGCTTTAAGTGGGTGCTGGAGAGAAAGAGAGGCCAATTATAGCCATGGCCAGCACCAGATTCACCACAGCTCACCCACCCCCTCACAGACAGAGCTGTGTATCCAAATGCTGGGCCCCTGCTGAGGGCTGGACAGGAACTGATGGGTTACTTGCAGGTGGAGGTGCCCCTCTGTGTGAGTGAAGCCTGCAGCCACCTCTCACTCCCAAAGGGCTGAGAAGCACTGCTTAAATCTGGTCTACAAACAGCTCAGCCAGCTGGCTCACTGCAAAAGTCCTGCCAGGGACTGAGATGGAGAGGCTGGCTAATTTATCTCCCCTGCACAGCAGTGCTCATGATGCTGCTGTCATATCTCTCCCAGGACAGAGAGCACAGGTAGTCTCATTCTTCCAGCACCTCATATCCCTGATTTCCAACCCTGAGCACAAAGCCAGGCCCAAAAAAGTGCAAATCAGCCTCCAGGTACCAGTAACGGATACCAGGGCTCATTTCCTCTGGTTAAGTTCTACCACAGTAAATCCTCTCCTGCTGGGGAAAAAAAGAGGTGCCCACGGTGCAGCTTGCACCTGCAGTTTAGGAATCAGGCTTATAAATTGTGAAGCTAAAGATAAGCTTTCTGAGAACTGCCTTACCAAGATCTGTTTTTACTTTGTCACCAAGCAGAACAAATGCTGTGGCTTGACAGCCAGTCCCTCGAGGAGAACTTCTGGACCCTCAAAAGGTCCCATCTGCAAAGGAAAAAAGTTAAAAAAAAGTTTAAAGCTAATCTAGTATTGTACAGAAATTTCAGTGTTGGCAGTTTATGAAGGTTTTTCTCCCAGTATCAATGCAGAACATTGCACCTCAGAGTAAATTCCTTTGTGTTGTAACCTGTGAGATTTGTGAGTTTAGCTGGCATTATTCACACAGGAGATGTTTTACCTTCTCAGAAACAAAAGCACTAGCCAGACACTACCCAATGCGTTTCTTTTTCCTTTTGAAATTTCTTCCATTTTGTGTTTTGCTTCCAGTTTGTGTCCATATCCTTTTGGACACTCTACACCTACAACCGAGAGCTGGTTTACCCCAAAAGCCTTGATGGAATCATCCCACTGTGGTTGAATCATGCAATGGTGAGTAAGAAACATCTCTGCCCCTCGCAGAGAACAGAGACATTCCAACGTGTGCCTCAGCCTTGTGTCGTGTCACCTTCCAGAAGAGTTTCCCCATCTTCTCTCTCTCCTCCTCCTTCCTGCTTATCTGAACTTGACGTCGAGTACTGCACGGGCTTGACATCACCTCAAGAAGCCTTTTAGCACACAAGGAATGTCAGGAGTGAAGCAGTGCTTGTCAAACCTCTGAAGTCAATGAAATGTGTAGTGCTAAGGGAAAAGAAAGAATCTCACCTTGGTTATTGTAGCTCAAAAAGAAAAAAAAAATTGTTTCTGCAGACAGAAGTCTGTGAAATACACTCAAAAAAATAAATGGTTACTGCAAACAGGATTCTGTGCAACACAAAATGGCTGGGGGGTAACAAAGCAGTTCTTAATTTCTAAAAAAGGTGAAAGAACCCAAGAACATCTGACAGCTCTACAGCTAATAAGCTAATGTGTGCACAGCTTTGAAGAGCTGAATGGCAATGATTGTTTACAGATTTTCTATAAATACTTTCCAGATTTCTCCTTCATTTGCTCTGCTTGTTTTTATGACGTGTTGAATAATCACATATTTCTCATCAGTCAAGTGTAAAGAGGCTGACAGCAACATGGAAACCGTGGGTGGATTGTAAGGTCAGGGAGGCCTCGTGGGGCTAATGGGAAGAGGGAGAGAAGGGAGAGGTTCAGTGCTGGACTCAATCAGAGAAGCCAAAAAGTATGAAATAATTGCACAAAAAGACTCATTTCTGTCCAGACTTCAGTTCTTAGGTAGAATGCTTTTGCAACCTGCTGCAGCAGTTCCTGAGGGGTGTTGAAGGTAGCTGCAGGAGGCAGTTTTCTGTCCTCAGCTTTCTGGCTGAGGACACGGGCTGAAGGTTTTGAGCAGCCACAGGCACATTCAGACTCATTTGGAGTCCCACCACCCAGGGGCACGTCGGCGTGACTGATATCTGAGTGATAAGCTCCAGCCATCGGGCACTTTTAACCTTATCCCCTGCTCTCTGCCCAAAAATTCATCTCCACCAAGGCCTCCACGTGGCTGTCCAAACCCCTGCCACAAACCAGCACTGCTCTCTCTCCAAACCATCAGCCAACAAGGAGAATTTTCCATGTGTCCTCAGCATCATGTTGGCTTCAGGTCCAGGATCTGACGTGGTTTGAGGTGTAAAATATTCCTGGTAGTGGAGGTGCTGGGGCAGGGGAGGGCACAGGGTGGAGTGGAGAGGAGATGGGCTTTGCTGCTTGTTTTAATCCTGGTGCACAGCTGAGAATTTGCCCTTTCTATTCCCACATTTGTTTATGGGATGGGAAGGTTGAGAGGTGCTAGAATATATGTTTTTATCTCACGTGCAAGAACTCATTGCAGGAATCCATCAAATGTGTTCCTGGTAACTTCTTCCTTACCCTACCTACATCTAGATTTCATAACAGAGTCATCCTGACAACAACAAAAAGCTTTTCCCTTCCAGAAATGTCAGAAACAGGTGTTAAAAAAAGGAAAACAATTCTTCCTCAAAATTATTTCGATGAGAGAGAAACGTCACATAAAGCAAACCTCTATCACAACCTAGTATTTTATCTGTAAAGCTCTTAATATGCTGCAGACATCTCCTGCTTGACAGCTCCCGGGTGGGAAATTTTCCTTCCAGTCGCTCTGGAGTGTAAAAACATCTGCCACCAGCTCAGAGTGATCCCCTCTATTGACAATCCCCACATCTTGGGCCACCCTCCAACAGGTGCCTTCAGGCTTAGCCGAGGCGTTTGTTTCTTCCAACCCAAAATATCTGCTGGGAACAGGAGGAAGATGCAGCTACTGAGGCTGTAAGGGACAACCTCCAAGTTCTGATGCCAAGCAGATGCTTTTTTGTCGGGTTCATTCCCTTGCACATTGCTGTGCTTGATGGCTCTGAGATTACAGACGTTTCATGGCAGATTGAGGCAGCATCTCACTGGCTTTGGTGGAGAAAGTGGTGTCTCAGTAGTAGACATCAGTCCCATATCATTTACAGTGGGAGTGGAGGGGTTTTTTTAAATCTCAGTCTGTGTTAACATTGTAAATGGGGAAGGCATATGTTGTTATCCAACCGTGGAGGGAACCTAAAAAATAATCACTCAGAACCACTTCAGGAATACCAAGCTCCTTGAGCTCGTGGTGATGCTGCAGCACCTTCCTCCCAAAACCCAACTAGCCATTTATTTTTCTCACATTTACTGCTCTGACAGTAGGGAAGTGTCGTTGCCCACCTGGTAGCCCAGAGTGTGGTACATTTTAGGCATGTTTTCTGCACCCTGAGCAGCAACACTCTCTGTTTTGCAGACAGGGTGGCTAACGCAGACTGGAATCTTGATGAATAGCTGAAGGAGGAAAAATACTCCAGACTACCTGGGTTTCTCTCTTTGCCTTTCTGCTGAGTTTAACCCAAGGGCTGTGCCTCAGTTTCTGCTTCTATTTGCCTGGGAAAATCATGTTTTATCATCTTTGTGCAAAGCTTTGAGCCTCACAGATGAAAAAGGAACCCCTACTTCTGTCTCAAGCACAATTATTTGATTTGAATGAGGCTTCTGCAGTGGAAGAAGTCTGAGGCAATACACTGACCAGTTGGTCAAGTGAAATTGTCTCTTTCCTTCCCAGTCACCTCTTTTCAAACAACACCTGGACACTCTGCAGAAGACAACTGACTGCTGGGGACAGCTTGGATTAAATCATGGGTGTGTCTCATTGAACTTGGTGGCAGTGTAGGGCAACACTGCACTGTGAACAGAACTGGATGCTGAACAAAGAGGGGCAACGGTGGGGCAGAGGAGATCACTCAAAACCATTTTCATCTACAACAAAGGCATCAACACGGGCCAGATGTGTTCACAAAACAATGGCCTTTTTGGACAGGAGGTTTATGGTTTTGGTTTCAGAGCCCAATTTTTTGTAAAACACAAATTTTCTTGTAAAAAGCACCGTTTTCCTGTCTTTATTTTCAGGCTGCAGCTAAGTTTAGTTTAGCAGTCTCTTTTTCCAGTTTCTTCTGTAGCTAAGTTATCCTCTCACCTTGAAAACAATAATCAGCATTTTTGTGTCCTCGGCACTTCACTGACACATAGTTATGAACTAAGCATGTCTTGAAGGGCTTGTAAGCTGAATAACCAAGACTACAAAAGAAGGGATGGCAAATGGAGACACAGAAGTGACTTACCTGGCAGACTTTTGGCAAAGATGGCAACAAACCCCCTGTGGCCTGAGCCTCCCAAGCTCCTTTGCCCTTGCCCTGATGTAGCTAAGCAGTACCTGAGTGTAAAAAGGAAATGCAAGGGAGTGAAAGAACAACCTGAGTGGCTGCAAGGAATTTTCCTTCACTGAAGGAAGACACCAACGTCCTGATGTTATAAATACCAGTAAGACTCACCATGGCCCCTCTCAGCTTGGAGCTTCTTGGTATCTGCAAGGTGTTTGTGTCCTGCACACCTAAATCAGCTGTTCCCTTCCCTCATGTGGACACAACTCCAACCACAGAAGGGTTATTTTGGATCAATGTGATTTACCTCCATCTGGAAAGGAAAATAAGTTATGGAAATACAAATCACTCTTATTCCTATGTGAGGGCATCTGTGTGAAGGATTCTCTCTTCCTACGGGTATTTTGGAAAGCTTCCCCATGAGAGTGGTGAGACCCTGGCATGGGTTGCCCAGGGAGGTGGTTGAGGCCCCATCCCTGGGGGTCTTTAAGGCCAGGCTGGAGGAGGCTCTGGGCAGCCTGATCTAGTGGGAGGTGTCCCTGCTCATGGCAGAGGGGTTGGAACTGGGAGATCCTTGTGGTCCCTTCCAACCCTGACAGATTCTGATCTGTTTTAGCAGAGGACTTTAGAGCCCTAATGGCTCAATGGTTGGACCTGATGATCTTGGAGGTCCCTTTCAACCTCAAGGATTCTATGATTCTATGATTCTTCAACACTGACCAATCAAGGAGGTACAAAATCAGAGTGTGGAGCAGAACCTGCTTTTCTAGGCCACTCAAACTGGAATCCTGCTCCAGGTGTCTGCACCGGAACCATCTCAGGTTCATCTCTGACCACCTTAAATACCAATTACAAGAAAAAATCGTTTAATGCTTAATAATTCTTGGGTATTTACACAAGAGAGAAACATTTCCATTTGTTTCCATTTCACAGCACCTCAATTTTAAGCTGTCTGGCAACTATGGCTGTTCATAGGCTTCCAATTACATTCAGCTTTTGGCAAGGAAGAAGAATGTGTGTGTGAGGGTTGTGGCACATGAAATTAATCACCCCACAGATTTAAGAGCAGAGATGCTTAGCTTGCCCCAGCACTACACAGATATCTGGTGGTTTTTTTTGAAGTTTCCACTTTTGTTGACATAAGCCTGTTTCCTCAGGGAGACAGTATGTGTTTCACAGCCAGATGTTGTGGCAGGGGATCCTCCCTGGCTGCTGCTGCCCTGGCGTGCACAGGTGCAGGCTCCAGACCCCACCCTGGGAAGGAACAGCTGGAGACAAATATTCCACAGTGAAGGATGTGTCACTTCAGGCTCCTACCAGCTTCCAGCTGCAGAGCTGGTTTCTCAGACTACGTATCTAGTGTCAGGGAGAAAAGGCAATTAAAATTCTGGCATCGACACGGAGACAAAATATTTTCTGGTGAGCAATGAGAGACTCAGCCAGGGCCTTATTTCCCAATGTGCGTGTAGGAAATGTTACCCCTGAAGCTCTTTTACCTTTGATCTGATGTTTTCATCCAGTTCTCACAACGATGCTCCCAAACGACCTGCACAGCCCAGAAAGAAAAAGCAGGAAAAAATGATGCTGCTTTTCAGCTGAGCATGAGTGGACCTGGGAAGGGCAGGAATGGGCAGCAGGTGGCAGTTCAGAGAGGAGTGCTGCTGGAGTTCAGAGGAGCAATAGCTTCCTGACTAATTTGTCACCACATCTGCTCAGTAACAGTGACAGGACAAGGGGTGATGGTTTTAG